TATAGTTAAAGGCCAAGATATTTTTCACAACTCAAATGTTTTCAAAGTTTGTGATTCGATCAGGAATATAGCTTACGAGCCTTAGACTTATGTTCCATGCGCTGCTAAAAAACCGTAGACTAACAATTTCACATGGATCTATCTTAAGCTTGCCTAACTAGCCTGCAAACAAAAATACCCCTTAATTTTTGTTAGGTTAATTTCATGTTTTGATTGATCATTTTTTCGTTTTTCTTTATACAGGGTTTTACCCTTGCTTAAACTAAAGTGCAGTTGCATCGCCTGACGCCGCGCTACCAAGGAAAGCAACCACGAAAAAGTGAGTAATTATTATGTATATATTACTATTGTCATTGTCCTGTCGCCAAAAAACGGGAAATTTAACTCAATCATATTTTCTTAACACAACCTTTTTTCTCTTCTTGCCATCAGTTGCATGTTGAGATCACATCAGACCGTGGACGTTCAGGGCCCCCCGATTGTCCGGATAAAGAAACAGTGAAGGGATATTCTCTAGAAGTAAGTATTTAAAACTAACTAATTTTCGTTAAATCAAATCCTGATCCTGAATCAATTTAAACCGAAAAGAAAAACCGCAGTGATACTGATCGATATTGGTGAAGCTGAGGATGTACGGATAGACAGCAGGCATCTGACGAAGGAAAGAAATCACTGCACCCGACCTGTCAATCAACGGAGTACGAGCCACTAGTGGAGGTTTTCACGCTCTAATCTATGTGGATTTAAGCAATGTAAATCATTTGCAATATCTAATACGTGAGTTAAGTGGTCTTAAAAACAGAAAATTATTAATATTATAGAATCTCCCGGAAACTTAGAGGAAACGCTTCCCTTCCGGATATAGCGAAGTTACTTATTTTTTTTAATGGGAATTCGTGCACTATGAATGTTTTAAAAATTTTTATCTTAGTGTTTTTATTTTATTTTCAAAATACAACCTTTCGAGTATTTTTAGTTAACTCGCACCTCACACATAAGTACCAGAATTCCATTCTTTAACTCGAGTAACACCAGTATTCTAAATGCAGAATACATGCACGACTTTATCATATCAGTTTTGATTTACCATAACACTTAGAGTAATCCATTCTTATTTTCCGCCATGTAATTTTTTTTTGCCAAGGCCGTAGTCTTGCATTGATTAATTTCTTCTTATTATCTCTCTCCGTTTACAGATTACGAGGGAAAAGGAATTCAGCCTCCTAAATACAGACAACGCCTAGAGATGCAGGTACGCATGACAAATTTTGTCGTTTTGTAAAATAGCTTCAATGACCCGATAAATAATGGAAGATGGAAGTTTTTTTATGACAATCTTAAAATGTATGGTGGGAAATTTATTTTCTCTTGTAATCTACACAAAGATGACATTCCACTGTTAAAAATACGTAATCTTTTTGTATGTGAGGTCATGTCAATCTGGGCGGAATTGCATTTCTCTGATGCTGTAGCCATCTCCATTGCAAATGTTGGCAATCAGATTATCTGGCTTAATTCATTGATAAGAATTGACAATCAGCCTGTATTCCGTAAACACTGGATGGATCATGGTGTCTGCAAAATTTCTCATCTATTAGATGAGGGTGGGAACCTCCTCGGGTATGATGCCATGAAATCAAATTTTCAGGAGTTAAATTGGTTAGAATATTGTAGTATAGCTTCAGCTGTTAAATCACTTATAAATAAGGTGCAAAATGAACCGCCGTACGAGGTTGTTTCCACCGAGGGAACATCTATAACTGAATTAGCATCTAAAAGTAAAGCTAACAACTTTTTTATAAGTCGCTACTGAGAAAAAGAATCTCTACACCCATTAGAAGCCAACTGAAGTGGCTCAGTGACCTTCAAGTCGAAAATGCAAGTGATATTGATTGGAAAGATGCATACACAATCGCTTTCCACTGTACGGCTTCTACAAAATTAAGAACCTTTCATTATAAGTTTTTGCATCGGAGGATTGCTACCAATGATTTTTTAAAGAAAATTAATTTAAAGCAATCGGACAAATGCTCTTTTGCCAAAGGGAAATAAAGACTACATCTCATCTATTTCTGAGATGTTCGGCAACAATTGCTTTTTGGAACGATGTTAAACAATTTTTATTTCAAAAGGGCATCAAGAGTACTGCACTAACCGATCTGCATCTGACGGGACTCCCTAAATTTGCACCCTCTACCGCACTGATCTCGTTCTTCTTATTGGGAGACATCATATATACTCGAGCAAACTTGCAGGTACGTCTCCCTCCATGACTCTTTTTAAGGGCAAACTAAATTCCGTCATTGTGATGGAAAAACAAGAAGCACTCCGCTGTAATTCTTTCACCGTCTTTTCAAACAAATGGAAATTTTTTCTTATTTGAATTTGTTGCTTGCACTGGTTACCCTCTAGCTAATCGCTTTGACTTAGCCATATGTCCTGCAAAGTTGAGCCATCCACCGTCCACCGTTCACCGTCCTTTCCTTTTATTGTAAGTAACTATGCGAATTCAAGCATAAATGTAACCTCAGCTATTTTTATGTTTGTTTCGTCAAGTTGTAATATGTACACGTCTTGTGTGATGTAAATTTAGCTTAAATAATAAATTAAATAAATAAATAAAAAAAAAGAATTAAGAAAAATTTACATAATCGAATCGAAATAATCGAAATCGATCGAACCGCAAGGAATATGAGTCGTTACACCCATCGCATACAAGCTTTTCATAATAACAGAAAGGAAAATACTAAAAATACAGTTTTAAAATCTAAAGTTTAATTCGATTTACAGAGAGTGTTAAGCTTCTTCACTGAAAGTGATTGGCTAAAACTCACCCATAAGTTACATAAGTTAACTACAGACGTGACTGGAAACACAAAGGACAAATTTGAAATGCAGTTCGCGGTAGCGAGCAGAACTTGAATTACAACAATAGCAAGGGCGGATTCAGGATTTTTGTAAGGAGGGGGTGCACTCGTCTCTTGCTCTACTTCAACACCAATAAACCACATAGTTTTTTTTTTTTTTGCAGAATACCAGTTGTATTAGAAAACCGCAGATCATCTCTGGGGGTGGGTGGGGTGCGCACGCCCTGCACCCTGTGCCTAGATCCGCCCCTGAATAGATGTTTACTTTAACCAACACCCGTGAATTGGGAGACTGTATTACATACCATTGTTATTAAAACATTTTAAGTTGCAAATAAAAAACCATCAGGGGCACCCAACGACTGTTTTCTGTAAAATATCTGTTCGGAAAAGCAAATATTGCCCAGAATTTTCTATTACTTGAGGACGGCTAAAAATTTCTAGATGACCGTTCCATTCATGTACAATTTTCGAAGCTTTTTCAATAAACCCGCTACGATTTTCTGGTTTAATTTTTCACTTTTAACGCCCCAGGTTAGGCTATTTTTCGTAGTAAAAAGGAAACCTAAAATTTTCGGACTAAAAAATGAGATGTAGAGAGGATCCAATTAGAAAAATTCTCACTTTCGTAAAACGTTGAATTGCATCTAAAATTTTCGGGAAAGAAATACTGGAGCCCTAATAATTTCGAACAGACTCAACTTGCCCTAGGATGACCGAACAGATACAAATTTTATAGCACTGCTTAGAATGCATTTCTAGAGATCTAAAAGTAATCTAGCCTGCGAAAGGCAGACGTTTCTCCTCGCTCATTCCTTTCGCAGGCTAAAAGTAATCTGGATAGCCTAAAAAGTGTTTTCAATGTGTGTAGGAGAAAACCGTCGTTGGGTGCCCCTGAACCATCAACTATATGAATTCGATGGAAAGCATGGGAAACAAGCTAAAAATTAACCGAAATAAGGATAGAGGTCATTTCCAGAAAATCTAGAAGGGGAGTCAAGTTAAGGTTGAAATATCAAACCATGCGATATTTTAAATTATTAAAAACTGACTCGTTGGATAATGCAATTCTAGCATTTTGATTGGCTTAGCCGTTATGGTATATGAGCTATTATACCATGCTCTCCATATATGGTCGGTGTACGCGTCAGTTTAAAATTGGAAGCTAGCTGAGCTTTTTTTTGGCGAAGGATAGAACGGCGCCCGAAGCAAATTGTTTTAATTCATTTCTGAGAATACTAGAAATGCAATTTCATCGAAAGAAAAACGACAAAAATAAACAAAAAAGCCACAAGAGCTTGTTTGAAAGTTTGTCGAAAAACACATGAAAACACATGGAACTAAAGTACCTTGACCAGCTACGAAAGAAGACTGTTGTTTCTTCATGATCGCGAAGCCATTCGCCGATCGAGTCACTCGCCGATAGATAACTGCAGCTTGTTTATCCGACATCAAGAATATAAATCACAAGTAACCAGCTACAAATACAGGCTATGCAGCCATTCACTAGAGCAATCGAGGCGGCAGTATAGCTTCTTTTCTCGTTCAGCAAAACCAGCTTGTGGCTTCAAACAACTTCATAACAAGCGACCGAGTTACTAGTTTTTCTCCGTTGTTCTTACTTTTATAACTGCACCGAAAATCCAAATTCACAGTAATTTCGACCGCTGTCACTTAAAAATTCTTTTCCTTCAAATTATCTTCCAGGTTTTTTTAGCTGTTCTTCTGTGTAAAATCCTAGAATCCCGATGAGTTTTTAAATAACTAATGTTCATCGCCGTACAATGTTTTGATTTTTCCTTCATGCAGTCCAGGCGAGTCCGTTCGCGCGTTGACAGTTTTGATAGACGTGTGACATGTGAATAGCGGAAGTCCCTTGTCTTTTCCGGTTTGTTCTAGTCAGGGAGATTCAACGAGATTTTGTGGGCGTTTTTAATAAAACAATGATTCCACTCGCGCTTTGAGATGATTTTAGCCAACTCGGCGCTACGCGCCTCGTTGGCTCTATCATCTCATATCGAACGCGCCCTCGTGAAATAATTAGGGACTTTAAGATACGAGGACGCGGTGGTTTCTAGAACGTCGTAACCGAGGAAAGCCTGGGCCGAGAGCGGCGTTGTAAGCGCGGGAAAAATGAAGTTAAGAGCTGCGACACGACGAAGAACAACACAACTTGAGACACAGCAGGTTTCGTCCAAACTAAACACCATGAGCTCGTTTAAAGCAGTTCAAGAAATGCTGCTTTTCTGTTTAGAAGAGGAAATTATCGATGATGAAGAATTTGCGGTACTCTACGAGGAATATACGCCACAAAATCTTCCATTTCCTCACTGGCAATATGACACGTTTTCCCTGCTGAACAAGGATCCTGCAGAGTGTAAAGCGGATTTTCGAGTGGAAAAGGCAGATATTCCATTGCTCATCGATGCTTTAAGAATGCCTCCAGAATTTGTTTGCGGGAATGGCACAGTTTGCGATGCAACAGAGGGCCTGTGTATACTGCTGAAGCGGTTTGCATATCCATACCGTTATTCGGACATGATACCAATTTTTGGTAGATCAGTTCCAGAGTTAAGTATTATTAGTAATGAAATCACCGACTGGCTATATACCAACCATGGCCACAGAGTTACTTACTGGAATCATGATATTTTGAGCCCGGCAATGCTCGATGTCTACGCCACAGCAATTTACAATAAAGGAGCCGCCCTTGAAAATTGCTTCGGGTTTATAGACGGAACAGTGCGCCCCACCAGCCGACCTATCATATACCAGAGAGCCGTGTATAATGGACACAAACGCGTTCATGTACTTAAATTCCAGTCTGTGGCACTTCCCAATGGTTTAATTGGTCATCTTTATGGTGCTGTGGGTAAGCAAAATTCATGTTACTACTATTTTTTTCAGTTCTCAAACGTTTCGATTCTTATTTTTCTACAATTTTGATTTTATATTCAGAAGGAAGAATGCACGATGCTAGGATGTTGGCCTTGTCAAATCTCTACGATGAACTGGAGAACTATGCCTTTTCCCCGACCAAAGCAGAAATGTGTCTTTATGGCGATCCTGCTTATCCGCTAAGAGTTCATCTCCAAGCACCATTTCGCATTGGAATTTTGACCAGAGATATGCAGATTTTTAATGATTCAATGAGTGCAGTCCGTGCTTCTGTGGAATGGTTATTTGCTGATATCATTAATTATTTCAAATTCCTGGACTTCAAGAAGGACTTAAAGATACGACTAAGCCAGGTTGGCAAGATGTACATTGTTTGCGCACTACTTAGAAACGCCCTAACCTGCCTATATTCCAACTCTACAGCTGAATAGTTTGGCCTTGTACCCCCCACGTTGGATCAGTATTTCAGTTAGGTTTCTACTAAGGACAAAGGGAGTGTCCCTTACTTATGGAAAAGGAGACATCTGGGAAAATAGAGGCGCTGTAAAAGTTTCATACCCTCGTGTGTGATGGTAGGGTCCAAAATGGTTAGAATGTTCCTGAAAAACGGGGATTAGAGAAATTTGACCCGGATGGGAAGTAAAAGTTGTAACTAAGTTATCCCATTCACTGCCTCCCTCCCATGAATAAAAAATGCTCTACAGAAAAACAGTTTTGCAAACTATGATGTCTAATACAACCACAACAACAACAACAACAAACTTTATTAGAAAATACTACACTCGAAGAGACCAGGAATAAGGGGGAAAACGCCCCAGTTGCTATTTCAGAAAAAGTCAATTTGTAACATCATCTTCATAAACTGGGAAGAAAGTAATAAATTTAGTAGCTGAGTACAGTAAGTTATCACCTCACCCCACCCCACTTCATAAATAGTGAAATCACTTAAGAACAACAATTTTCAATCTAGGAGATCAACTCTAATACAACAACAACAGGGGTTAAATGCTATGTAATGGTTTTAAGTCTTAAGTCCAAGTCTAATTGACTTGGAAGAAGGAAAACATGGGAAAAATTATTGTTACATCATCGCCAAAAACAGGGAGTAATGTGATAAATTAGGTGGATCAGAGTACAGTAATTTACCACTCTTCCCAGGGTAACTGAAACGACTTAGCTTAATATGAAAACAAACTTTGCAAAGTTGGTAACAGCTATAGTCATAAAAAAAGGTTCCTGCCTGCCTAATTTCAGGAGTTCAAAATCTGAAACAGAGCAGCAGAAAAATACTAACGGTAATAAAAATACTGCCTTCCATGGGAACACAAGAGAAGTTAAGAATGCTTTAAACAATAGAAGGGCAGGGGTGCATAGAAAAAAATCCCTAAGGTAACTGAACAGAAAATTTGAGATGTAAGCAGCAGTAGTTTTACCCCCTCGCCCCTCGTACATTGGGTTTGGGTTATTTTCTAAGCAAAACTGCAATGGCATAGGAATATGCTTGAATGAACACAAAACTACTTTCCAGATCTCAATCAAAATGCAATTCAAAACCTTGTCAGAAAATCAACTGAAAGTCACTTAGGGATTTATTTTGCACATTGTTGATAAACAATTATTTATTTACATAATGTCCAATAATGCCTTTGTTTGCTGCTGCTGCTGCTGTTGCATCATGAGCAGTGTTTGTTGGCTCTGTTGTTGCTGTTGCTGCAACACTATCTTTAGAAGCTGACTCTGCTGCTCTTGGAACTGCTTCTGTGCATTTGCAGAAACTTCCATTTGTTTCTTCTCAAACTCTTGTCGATCTCTCTTCAGCTTCAACTCCTCCTGTTTAAGCTCGTAGTTAATGTCAGCTCTTTGTGACAGATACGAAATTACACTGCTGCCACTGCGTCGTGGTCGCTTACTTTGATTGTCCTCCATCCCATCTGATTGCCTTTTTTGAGTGTCTTTCAATTTTTCCATTGCTTTTAACCTGATATCTTCAGCTTTTGCTTTATCACTCTCTATTTTTCGGTTCTTCCCGCGACCAGTTTCCTGTTGCTCTGCCTCTGCACTTTCTTCCATGGCAATTATTTGCTCTAACAGGTTTTCCAACTCTGTCGGCTCATCAGGTACAATGCCAGTTGCCTTTTCTTCAGCTCTCAATTCTACCTCGTTACCATGCTGAGAGATTCCATGAGATAGCAAGCGCATGCGCCAATCAGTGCAACGTTTGTCGCCGATCAGATTGACTTTTTATCGCTGTATTTGAGGATTTTTTCCAAAAATACAGCTCTTTTATCTACTAAAAATGAGCGAGTCATTGAATTTAGCAAAGGAAACTACCATTTCCAAATTGCTAGAGATGGACTCGGCCTTAGACGCCAGTTTGAACGACTGGGACGAAGAGTTTTCCGCAGGATCAAGCAAAACACGTGCGGAGAAGCACAAAGGCTCGCTGTCAAAAGACGCAGAGCCCACTTCTGGGACTAAAGATCCCACAAAATCACTTAAATGTGATGACAATTTGCAAAAGAAGAGCGAGAAAGCACCTTCTACTGGCTCTGGTGCCTCTAAGACGGCAGTGGTCACAAAAAATGTGACAAAACCTAGCCGTTCCTCGAGGGAAAAAAGCGCGCCAAAAGAGCGTCGTAGCGGCTCAAAACAATCTGCTACCCCGGGTCAAAGTTTAACCACTGACGTGGCTGCCCTTCTCAAAGAGGCTTTTTCTGGTCTTGCGGTGGAGATGAACAAGGGTTTTAGCAATTTGGGCGATTTGCTCAAGGCAAAAAACGACGCCGCATGCGAGAATAACGCTTCTGTAGCTTCCGACTCCGAGTCGGATGACCGTGGCGGCGGCTCAGACATAGACCCTGAGGAACCTGCTCGTAAAAAACAAAAAACCGATGATGGCATTGCTCTGCCTAAGGACAATAGTGACATACTTAATAAACTCGAAAAGGAGTTTAATGTCTCTGAACAAGATGGCGCTGAAATTCATGGAAACTTAGCTGCTATTGTCCAAAAGTTATTGAAAGACAAATCTGAGGAAGATAAGCTGAATGAAATCAAAAAACGGTATCTCAGGCCAAAAAACTGTGATATGCTGGCCGGAACTAGGGTCAACCTACCAATCTGGAATAATCTTTCAGAGAGAGCACGTACCTCAGATCTTAAATTCCAGAAGGTGCAAAAATCCCTTATTAAGGGTACAACTGCAGTGGTCCAGGTTGTAAATGACCTGATCAGCAAGCCAGATATGCCATCAAAGGGTCAACTAGTTAACCAACTCATGGATGGTGTTCTGTTGATGGCTAATTCTAACACAGAGTTAAATCTGAGGCGTAGGGAGGCTCTTAAACCGGAACTTCACACAAGCTACCGCTATCTTTGTGCTCCCTCAAACCCAATAACAACTGAGCTTTTTGGAGATGATCTACCCAAGGCGGTAAAAGACATTACTGATACCAACCGAATCACTTCCAAGCTTAGTAGAGAAACTAAGCAGAGCTTCAAAAGATCACGAAGTGATGGTCACTCAGACAGATGCCAAGGCAAATACAGGGATAATAATTATTATTCTGGGCTGTCAAAAAACTACCGCCGCCCCCTCTTCAGCAAGAAGGAGGGGGGGAGGAAGGCTGCTCAGAAGAATCACAACTAATTCATGACCAAAATGTTGAGGTAAGGGACAAAGAGTTGCAAATTGCTGGCAGGCTTAAATACTTTCTCTCTGCCTGGATGGAAATTACATCAGACAGAAAAATTCTTGACATGGTTGAACACTGTCATCTTGAGTTTACTGAACACCCCTATCAACAATATCCTAAGCCTCCAGTCATATTTAACTCTGAAGAGGCTGCTCTTATTGATGGTGAAATACAACAATTGCTTAACAAAGGGGTTCTTGAGGAGACTGACCCTAGCTATGGTCAGTATGTCTCTACAATTTTTCTCAGAAAAAAGAAAAATGGTTCTTACAGACTGATCTTGAATCTAAAAGGACTGAATGCATCCATAGAGTATCAACATTTTAAAATGGAAAGCCTAACATGTGCTATCCAGTTAATGAAGAAAAACTGTTATATGGCTTCTATAGACCTAACAGATGCATATTACACTGTTCCTGTGGCTGTTGAGCACAGGAAATATTTAAGGTTTTTCTGGAGAAATAGGCCGTTTCAGTACACATGTCTCCCTAACGGCCTAGCATCTGCACCAAGATACTTTACAAAACTATTGAAACCAGTGTATAGCACATTGCGTAGCCAAGGCTACTTAAATGTTGGCTATATAGATGACTCATATTTACAGGGGGACTCAAAGACAGACTGCAGAAGTAATATTCTTACTACCCTAACCCTATTTGAGTCTCTAGGATTCCTGATCAATCATGAAAAGTCAGTGTTGCAACCATGTCAGAAATTGGCATTTCTTGGTTTTCTTTTAGATTCTGTCAACATGAAAGTATTTCTTACGGCAGAAAAAACCGAGAAAATAATTTTGGCATGCCAACAACTGCTAAGAAAAGTATAATTTCTTTAAGAGAAGTTGCCCAGGTCATTGGACTTCTGGTCTCTAGTTTGCCTGCTGTCCAGTATGGACCCCTTTTTTACAGGAGTCTTGAAATTGACAAAAATACAGCTTTGCAACAAAATAATGGCAACTATGAAGCTAATATGACCCTCTCCTCAGAATCTATCAGTGAGCTTCGCTGGTGGGTGACTAACCTACCTACAGCATGCAAAAGTATCACCATGGACAACCCAGATATAGAAATGGCAACAGATGCATCGAAATTAGGCTGGGGGGCGGTATGCAATGGACAAAGTGCCCAAGGCATGTGGTCCCCATTTGAAAAACAAAAGCACATTAATGAACTTGAATTATTAGCAGTCTATTTTGGTTTGAAATCCTTCCAGCCCTTATTAAAAGGAAAGCATGTGTGCATTAAAACTGACAATTCTACAACTGTCTGCTATCTTAATGCAATGGGGGGCACTAAATCCCCTCCTTGTAACAAACTTGCTAAAAGTGTTTGGATGTACTGTATGGAAAATGATATCTGGCTGACTGCATGCCATTTGCCAGGTGTCCTTAATATTGAGGCAGACATAAGCTCCAGACAATTTAATGAGAGAACTGAGTGGCAGCTTCAACCAGATATATTCTGTAAGATTACTGACATACTGGGTACTCCTGAGATTGATCTGTTTGCATGCAGACTTAACAACCAGCTTCCAAAATAGGTTTCTTGGAAGCCTGACCCTGGAGCCTGCCACGTAGATGCCTTCTCGTTTTCCTGGAGTGGACAGTTTGTTTGAGACCGCCATCTTTATTCTTCACAATTTTTTCGTCTTTTATTACGGCTACAGGTGTTTGGAAACATTATATTAAATATAAATATCTTCATTATTCAAACGCTGTGTACAGTGATGCAGCAGTTTAAGGGTTCATATTTTAGTATGGATACTGCTTCAAGGCATTTCTGACCTAATTCGGCTATCTGTACAACGCACGTCAGTATGAGTTCTGTTTCACCTGCTACAACTGGGTAGAGTATAAAAGATCATATATTTTCAAAGCTCTTCCAATGAAGCAATAATTGATATTTAGATATAGACTTTAATTCGAAAGTATGCGCCCTATAAAATGTGGTTTTAGAAGTTTAAAAAGGCAGCTTATTTTTGTGAAAGCTGTACCGAGTATTGTTAATCCTGTAAACAAGCTTTAAAAATATTATTCTCTCGCTTACAAACTTCAATAGACCTTTTTCGTTCTGGCAAAACAACAAAAAAAGAATAATAAGTGAACAACATGATACATCCTTCCTGCATACTAAGTATTGTAGTTTCTGAAACGTATTTTATTTAGTAAAGATGCGTAACTTGGGTAGAAACAGTAGCGTTAGGGAATAAAATTGGAAGAAGCTAGTTGACACAATAATTAGATACTGTTGTCTTGAGTGGAGTAACATGATACAAGTAGAAATATATTTCGGCAGTTTGATAATTTTCTTTGAAGTTAATAAGTGTTAGGCTATTAACCTTGACGTTGCATGAAACATAATTTAATTGCAGGTGTTGTAATAATGCTGGGTTGATTTCTTAAAGTCGCTTGAGAAAATTTTGTAGTGAAACAATTTGCCTTTTTTTAGGGCCAAAGACCAACATCTCCACATGCAAATTGTGTGCATGAGTTATTTCTATAATTCTGTTTACTAGATTACCGTGTGATAACTCGAATTCCCTCACGTACGAACCACGAAAGGGAGCAAAGTCCAACACTTTCACGTGCCAGCTGTGTGACTGTACATCTCATGCAGATTGGCTTTTCACAATGATAAATAGTAACTTGAACGTATGAAGACCTGTTTCGTTTTGTAACCAATGCCTTAAAAGAGGTTCTTGTCTTTTAAGAAGCAATAGCTTTTAAAACATGAAGAAATAAGTTGTCGGAGTTAAAGACTGTTTCACTGAGTAGAATCGCACGTGACAACCTCGTGAATTATGATGATGCAACCATCTACCACAATGATAAAAATCCTGGTATTTCGTAGCTATTCAGTATTCGATGAGTCACATTTTGGCTTAAGAAACTCCGAGGAAACCTTGGAGTTTTCTTTCTAATCAACATTTGGTGAGTAGAAATTTATTTTACTTTAACAATGTGTTTAACTTGCACCAGATGTAACAGGGAAAGACAGAGGAAAGTGAATATATAGGTTGAGGATCGACTCAGCTGAGCGTTTCGCGTTTTCATTCATGTAGCGCAATACCCAATTTCGCACAAAAACCAAATCATCACTCTTGGTAAGGTTACACCGAAGTATTATAGTTACACTGAAGCATTCAAAATAGCTCATGCACGTTTAACGTGCCTATGTTTCAGTGTTGTAGCCACTTTATCCCAAATTGTACTTCGTTGTGTTGAGCCTTTTTTTGTAGTGAATGGATTAAGATTAAGAACTTCACGGCATAGTATCAAATCGTGATCTTTGGTCCAAAACATTACTGAACTAAAATAAAAAAACGTGAATAAGTGAAGGTATACACAGACTGATGTGTCTGTTCACTGTACATCTGACAGTATACATGTACATCAAATCTTGAATTTCAAGTTTACAAGTTTACAGTGTTCCCATTTAGGGCTTGTATATATCTGTATGTATCTGTACTGATTCAACATGGCCAGTAGAGAGTTGAGAGTTGGCAATAACTAGAACGTAGCTCACGGGCCTGATCCAAGGCCTGCTCATACCTGAAAGTGAGCCAGCCTATCAGAGAGCTTGAGGCTGCAGCATAACTGGGCTGCCAAGAGTCTAAAGGGAGACCCTACACTGGGGAAAACAAGTTAACCCACCACCCGGTGGCCAGAAAGGAATTTACTAGCTAACCCAGAATTTCCAGGGGCTGATAGTTCATTGACTGGGCTTTCCAACACAGCTGTGCTTGAGGTTGTCTCCCCTCCATCCTTGTCTTAAAGTTTCTCATTGGAGAGCCATGCTTTGTCAAATCTGCACAGATATTCTTATTAATAATATTGGGTTTTGTACCACACTAAAACGAAGGTATCCCGGGATGGATCAGGTGGCTAACCAATCCTCCAAGATCTATCAAAACAAGGTTAACTCAATCTCTTATAAAATATTTTTACTTCATTGAAAGTGACTTCTGTGTGTTTTCTGGGAAGCTTACAGACGTGTTTTATTTCTATAGAATGTGCTTACGTAAGCACATTTGCAAAACTACAGTATGCATGTGCAGGGGAAATAAAGTAAGGTTATATTTATTGCAAAATGGATGGAGAAGCCAAAACCCGACTGTGTAATTCCAACCATCTCTAAAATGTTAAAATTTTATCTGCAGAATAATCTTAAAATTAGGGCTCTTCAACCAGAACTTAAATCAATTTCAAAAGCTATCTAGAGACATCGGATCCTAAATTTCGCAACAAATTTGCCCAAACCTATCCCTATCATAATTATTTTTTACGCAGTCATTTTCACAGAAAGCAAAACAACATTTTTAAAAAAGAGAAGATCCCACTGACACGTGAGGCAATTAGGCCAAACTAAAGCTTACCTCGGAGGTTTGCTTGAACTTGAACATGGCTCTGCCATTTTCAGGCGAGTGTGCAACCTGAATAAAAACGTCAGGAGGGTTAAAACAGCATGATTTTCCACGCTTATCTTTCCTTGAAAAGCATAAATATAGTTCTACTTGCTATATCTAAAAGTTAAATGGCTAATATATCAATTTCTTTGAAGAAATAATAAAGCTTACTACTCACGTTTTCTCCACAACGCCAAAGTGCTCAGGTTGACGTTTCCGACGCCAGCGCAACGCAATGACAATCCAACATGAGCATGCGCAGAATCCTCGTCCTCTATCTTAAAGTTCCTATTGTTAATTAGTTTATTATATAGACACGAGTGTTTTACTGGAAAATATACCACTCTTAAAATTCATAAACACTACATCCGGGACCCGAGTGGTTTATTTTCCATAATCTCACACGTGAGTTTATCGATGACGTAATTTTGGTAATTTCCCTCTATTATTTTATCTATGTCATTTTGTCTATATAATAAAAAGAACATTACACGGCGGCTTGAAGATATGAATTTAATTTTCTCTTGGCAAAAGCAATATTTTACTCACTCGCTGCGCTCGTTCGTAAAATATTGTTTTGCCACTGGAAAATAAAATTTATATCTTCGCGCCACCGTGTAATATCCTCTATATATACACACTCAGTGATCTTGGTGATTTAAGCAATCTGATTGGTTCGCTATCTCGGACTATTCAACAATATTCACCTCCTAGCAAGTGGATAATGTGCGAGCTCGTAGTTTTTCCCATTTTTTTAGAGAACGATCTTTTAAAAGTCGACAAAATCCTAGGGCTGACTGTAGCTGAGTTTTGTGCTCGATGGATTGTTTACAACTCCCGTGTATTCGCGTAGAAGAAGCCGTTTCGTGAAAAACTCAGCGTTTTCTAACAAGAAAATTTTGGCTCAAAAATCGAAGTTTACTTATGGCAAACAATTTTAAAACGAAATGTTTGCAGAAGTTCTACGTTTCAAGTAAACAGGAAAAAGAATGATGCAGGAAGACGACGTCTTACCTCGAGCAACCGAGCCGCCATTTTTGTCAGCACTTCATGAACGACACAACAAACCCTTTTGGCTATAAACTTGGCGAGTCAACAGAAAACAACAAAGCTCTACTTTTCTTCTCAGGTAAGGAAACAGTTCAAACTTTTAGCGGTTCCATTTAAGCCATTACGCTGTTGTTTGCGAAATGATAAACTTGTGAATTGCCATGTTTGAAAATTCTGCAAAGATCTATTTTTAAAGTTACGCGTGATTTCATCTGTCAATCAAATCGTACTTTTTAATGGTTTCCTCTCTGATTTTGTTGAGATCACTTCGTGTTTATATACTAAAACAATTATTCTTTTCAATCTCGGTGAATAGCGGTGATTTGATAAATGCAAATTTTGCATTTAAGTATCTCTACAGACACAAACAAAAATTCGCAAATAAACGACTCTGTATATACACAGAGTGAAACTTCGCAGTTAATGAATTGCGAGTTGTTTACTCACTCACATATACGAAGCAAAATTAATTGCAATTAGTTGTCTATCGCGAAGTTTTACTCTAAATACATATTTATTACACTGATACAAATCTTGCACTCGACTATTTTTCCTTAACTGCGAGATTTCTGTCTGTTTATAGTAAAAGACTTAAATCTCGCACTTAACAATTTTTCCTTAACTGCGAAATTTCTCTCTGTTTACATGAAAGAACAAAAATCTCGCACTTAACTATTTTTCGTTAACTGCGAAATTTCTCTCTGTTTACATGAAAGAACACAAATCTCGCACTAAACAATTTTTCCTTAACTGCGAAATTTCTCTCTGTTAATAGTAAGAAACACAAATCTCGCACTTAACTATTTTTTTAACTGCGAAATTTCTCTCTGTTAATAGTAAGAAAAACAAATCTCGCACTTAACTATTTTTCGTTAACTGCGAAATTTCTCTCTGTTAATAGTAAGAAACACAAATCTCGCACTAAACTATTTTTCGTTAACTGCGAAATTTCTCTCTGTTAACAGGAAGGAACACAAATCTCGCACTAAACAATTTTTCTTTAACTGCGAAATTTCTCTCTGTTAATAGTAAGAAACACAAATCTCGCACTTAACTTTTTTTCGTTAACTGCGAAATTTCTCTCTGTTTACATGAAGGAACACAAATCTCGCACTAAACAATTTTTCCTTAACTGCGAAATTTCTCTCTGTTAATAGTAAGAAACACAAATCTCTCACTTAACTATTTTCCGTTAACTGCTTTTGTTGTTGGTTGAGTGGCTACAAGCTCAGCTCCAAAAATGCTAGAAAGTTTTATGATCGATTTTTGGGTACTTAGTACTTAGGAAAAGAGACGAAAAACACAGCTGAACTCGTCTTCATGAAGAAAATCTTTATTCAGGCGTGCGTAAATAAAGATTTTGTTCATAGCAGCTCAAGGACTTATATAAGGCAAGCACGCGCGCTATGTTATAAAAGCAATTTATGAACCTCGAGTTTTTCCTTGTTTTGCTTTCCAAAGCAAAGGTAGTTTAATGGTTAAACTTGCGTACGTATAAGCAGACTTCAAACAGGGGAATCTGATAGTAAATCAGAAGTAAATTAAATCTGCTATTACGAAGCGACACACTATCAATCTCTTTGAGCAAGAAAAAATGAGGCGGCGCCGCGGATGTTGCTGTTGACAATTGCAAGACAATGGCTGGTAAAATTGCTTGTCCCCTATTCAAGAATTCCTTTGCTTTAACTTACAAGGGATTTTTTATGGTAAGAAAGTCAGAAAAGCCCAGCCATTTTCAGGAATGCTTTGGCTCACCTGGGATTTCGAACATCCCCCTCTCAAGTCTTTTATCAGTGTAAAGGGTCTCCAACACTTTTTAGTTACGTGAAGCATGTTTAGGCGATTTATTTCTCGTGAATCATGATTGAAAAATGTTTTATTAGTGAAAGAAATCACGATGATTAATTCTGATTTTAAAATTTTTTCATTAAAATCGTTTCCCAATAGGCTCGAAAGACCAGACTAGAGAAGACGGAGGAAATTGAACCTACATGTTCACGTGAACAAATTTTCATTTCAACGTGACCTAGGTGAATGAACGATGACATCAACAGATTTAAAACGTGATTCGTGAACCATTTTGTTTTGAATTTTCAGCAGTTGCACTGCTTTCAAAATGTACGCAATGTTTTCGAATCACCGTGGTTTGGTTTTGACAGGAAATGGAGTTTACACGGGTCGATCCACCCTAGACGGAAATCGCCGGTCTTTATATCGATCTTTGTCAGCTACTAACCCAGCCAAAATGGTTACCTGCGAGATTTCTGTTCCTTCATATAAACAGAGACATTTCGCAGTTAATGAAAAATGGTTAACTGCGAGATTTCCGTTTCTTCACATAAATAGAGAGACATTTCGCAGTTAACAAAAAATGGTTAAGTGCGAGATTTGCATTCCTTATTATAAATCGAGAGAAATTTCGCAGTTAATGAAAAGTGGTTAACTGCGAGATTTGTGTTTCATCATATTGACAGAGAGAGTTTTGCAGTTAACGGAAAATGTCGAGAAAATGGTCAAGTGCGAAATTTGTATTCCTTTATATAAACCGAGAATAAATTCGCAATTAATGAAAAATGGTTAACTGCGAGATTTTTTGTTTCTTACTATAAGGAAAGAGAAATTTCTCAGTTAATGACAAATGGTTAACTGCGAGATTTGTATCAGTATATATATATGCACAGTAGTTTTTTTTTACAAATTTTACTTTTCACTGAGATAATTAATTGCGAAAGTTTGCCGTTTACCTGTAGATATACTTAAATGCAAAATTTGCATTTCAAAGAATAATTGTTAAATGTAAACAAGCCTTTGGTGGAAAACTTAATTGAACATTCTTTTACGATCGATAAAAGGGTTGTCGTGGAAGTCGATGAAGTGTAATAAAATAGCCGGAACATATTTGTTTAAGAACGAATTCATGAAAGGAGAAGGTTTATGTTGATGAATATTTTATACGTCGAGCTTGTAAAGATATTGTGAACAACTAATAATACAACTGTAGGTGATTATTTGGGGGTCCTGTTGTCTGGAACTGTTTAGATGATTACAATGCCTGAGAATGTGAGAACATTGATACATTCAAAAGAGTTCTTAAAACATCTACCATCAAAGGAGTACTACAGAAGGTTTCATTCGTTGATTATTAGGCAGTTCCACATCAGCTTTAATTAGCTGCCTGTTTTCTAACCTGCAATATCAAATAAATTCAGGATAGTCAAACCTCTTTAAAACGGACAGCAAAGGGACAGAACCAAGTGTCCTCTTTACGGAGGTGTCCGAGGGAAAGTATGGTTTTTGGCATTTCTGGGACCAAACGAACTGTCTGTAATAGAGAGGTGTTGGTATTATAGAGGTGTCCGTAAAGAGCCGAGAACAGATCGTGCCGCACTCCTGTCACGTACCATTTGACAAGGATGGCCTGTTATTGGATAAGACAGCGGCTGGTCAATATGGTCAATCGTGTGTTTGATTGGAGAAGCAAGGTGTTGTCAGGAATTCTTCTTAAGAAAGGGTGCAGTTAGGACAACGTACAGAATTACCCCACCAGCAGCTTGAATAGTGGTGATGTGACGTGGAGAACACTTAGTTTATCAAGTCAACTTGCATAACAGTTGTGGGAGCTCCTTTTTTGAGGGTGAACTAGAGGTGATTACACTTATTTAAATGTTCTCTCTTTAAGCTTCTCAGTACTTTGAGCAAAAAAATCTATTGATTAACAAGCACTGATGTTCAGATTCATAGTGGGTCGTCAAAAGATGCCATTGTTTATTGAAAGGTAGCAAAAGTTGTTGCTTCTTTGTGAGGCGCTTAGCTTTAGTGAAAAGATAGTACTTGTGTTCTCCTTATCAAAAGGCTTGCCGGATAGATAAAAACACCAGTCGAGTCTTCTAGTCGCCAAACAAGGGAGATTTTCTTGGCAAGCAAAGAAAATTACTAAATTGATATTAGATTAAGGTTAGGATCATGAGCAAAATCAAATACTTTAAATGGTTTGAGGTTTTTACACCAGTGGCTCATATAATCATTTCTTTACTCATTTCTTTTTTATTGTCTTGGTATTCGTTTTTAATTTCACCGTTTTCCTGTTTTTTTTTTTGAGACCCTTGCTGCTTGCTTCTAAAATGACTTACAAATAATGATTATGCATTACTGATTAGACCATTAACGTTATAGTCACACGTGAGCCTTTTTTGTTGGTACAGAAAGTGGCTCGATACGATTAAATTTTCCAGGGTCAATACCTCCAAAGTTTGAGCATAAACTATGTCGCCAAAAACAAAGATATGGAAAAATTGCCACCAACGTTATATCAGAGGCACCCAACGAGAATATAGTTCTAAACCACTTAAACATAGCATTGTTGAACGTCTTAATAAGTAGTTTCTTAGAAATCGATTTTGCGATAAATATTAGCGATAAAAAATCACGACGTTTCGACCTCTCCGAGGTCATTTTCAAGTGTATAAAAGTTCTCTAAATTAGCATAGATAAGTTAAAAGCAAGTTATAATAGATAAAAATGTGGTGAACGCTAAAATGTGATAAAATATGTAAAAATGTAAAAAGTGCTAAAAAAAAAAAAAAAAAAAAAAAAAAAAAAATTCTGAACACCATGCTTAACCGTGCGTTTAAACTCTCGTCTACGTGGAAGTTTTTTCACGAGGAATGTGAACGCCTTAAAGAGATCTTCTCCCGACTGCGCTATCCAGACGACCTTGTGCAGTCAACCATTCGCCAATTCATTGAATCCAAAGTGTCCGAGGATTCACACACCCAAGTGGATGATAAAAGAGAAGCCCCAATCAGAATCGTGTTGCCCTTCAAAGACCAGAAATCAGCAAACGTAGTACGTAAACAGCTGGCTGACCTGAGTAGGAAGATCAACGCAGACATCAGCCCAGTTTACACAAGTAGGAAGATCAAAGATGAAATTAAGGTCAAGGAAGACAAGCCGCCTCTTGTGAGTCAACAATGCGTGGTGTATTCTTTCCAGTGTAGCCTGTGTGATGCAGGTTATGTCGGCTACACGTGCCGACACCTACACCAACGAATTGAAGAACACAAAGGATCGGCAATCGGAAACCACCTCAGAGAGCAGCATGATATGGAGCCTGAAGACATCGCACAAAGTTTTAGAATCTTAAGAAAGTGTCAGAACAAATTTGACTGCCTTATTTTTGAAATGTTTTTTATCCAAGAACTGAAACCGACACTTAACAAACAGTGCGATTCAATTCGCGCCAAATTATTTGTTTAGAGTTCTTCTTGTTAACATTGTTTTATTTCCATTGTTTTTTGACTTTATAATTTTTTTTTTTTTTTTTTTTTTTTTTTTTAGCACTTTTTACATTTTTACATATTTTATCACATTTTAGCGTTCACCACATTTTTATCTATTATAACTTGCTTTTAACTTATCTATGCTAATTTAGAGAACTTTTATACACTTGAAAATGACCTCGGAGAGGTCGAAACGTCGTGATTTTTTATCGCTAATATTTATCGCAAAATTGTTGAACGTATTTTAGTATTTAGACGGTAGATATAGGCACATTTTTATCCCCTAGGCATTTTTCGTCTGTTCGGAATCCTTAGCTGAAAGTCTAGAGATCCGAAAATTATAGGGATCAAAACTTGCCTTTTTGGAAAATTTCAGTCAGAAAAAAGGCTCCCGAAAATTCTAGGTCACCTTTTTAGGGTAAAAATCCGTTAAAAATGGGCAATTATACCATTTTTTAAGATGTTCGAAAATCCTAGGAGAGGCAGGTAAGCAAGGAATTTTACAATAAATGTTCCGAAAATTCTAGATCTCCAATCGTCTTCCGAACAGATATTTTCCGAAAATTGACGTTGGGTGCCCCTGGTTATGATATTATATAAAAGATGAAAATTTGTTATGATATGGGTTGCAATGACATCGGATTTGTCATAGCAACGAAATGACACCATTTCCTATTTTACTTGCAGCAGTATTTTTGGTCACTGGCAACTGTTCTTCCAAAATCGTTCACGGCAGCTTTTTCTCCTTCAATAGCCGCCTCGACGTTCGTGAAGTTTAAGCGAAATCAGTAAGAGCGTTATCGAGATAACGAAATTATGTGTTTGCAAGTGAGAGCCTCTCATTATTCAGGGCTATTGTCTCCAAGTTTCATATTTTCGTGCACAACGACAGCTAGCATATTTCAAATGCAAATTTCAAATGCCTTGTTAGTTACTGCTGTTCACGAAGTGAAAATGATACTTGGAGACAATATCCTTAAATATTGAGAGGCTTTCACTTGAAAAGACAAAACTTCAGATAACAAATTATCGAATTGTTGCCTTTATTTTACTGACTTACAATACATCAATAATCTTGAAACTAAGAGGTCATATAAAAGGACGGTTAATCTCGATTCTTATTTTTTTAAAAAAATCTATCGAACCGTTTCAAAATTATTTGCTAATTTGTTAAAGTACACCGAAATGTTTACAGAACCGCTAACAATAGTGCCTTGATACATACGAATCATAACCTTCTTTCCAGCAATCGGCTGGAGCTATCTCCATGATCTTTCACACATGTTTTTCAAAAGATTGAAACTGCATGTCAAAAGCGCTTCGTTTTCTACAGACAACAATCGAACATATTGCATCAGGATTGTCCATTTTTTTCCGTATTTCTAGCCATAAAAACTTCTTCCCAAAATATCTTGATAACGCTCTTACAGATTTCGCTTAAACTTCACGAACATCGAGGCGGCTATTGAAGGAGAAAAAGCTCCCGTGAATGATTTTGGAATAAAAGTTGCCAGTGACGAGAAATACTGCTGCAAGTAAAATAGGGAATGGTGTCATTTCGTTGCTATGACAACTCCGATCACAGTCATTACAACCCATATCATAACAAATTTTCCTCTTTATATAATGCATGCAACTATGGTGGCAATTTTTCCAAATCTTTGTTTATGGCGACGTAGTTTATGCTCAAACCTAGGGGGGGTATTGACCCTGAAAAACTGTATCGAGCATCCTTAAAAGTAGCCAACTTCAAAAATCAACTTTTTTCGCAGCAAAATAAAATCAGAGCAACCAAAGTAACAAATCTCCTCATCGCGAAATCTCTTTAAAATATAAACAAACTACACCAGAAAGACGAAAGACAAGGAGTATTATATTTCATCCAAGTGAAAAAAAGAAAACGAAAAAAGTAAAGTGAATCAAGAAAGACTCATAATAGTTCCGCTATAAAAACGTCCACTTTATTTTTTAAACAAAACATTTTATTGCACTATACAGTGAGGGACTCCAAGCCACAAAATTACTTGATGCAAAGGGTACTGTTCCCTGCAATGTTATTTCCTAGTTTCGTTAGGAAATAGAGTTTAATTTCCTTGAGAAAGGTAATTTGAATAAAAAATCGGAAAAAAACTTGGGCAAGGCGAATGATAATTATAAGGGTCACAATCCTTATTGACTCCGCTCCGGATTAGAATTCTTAGAAGACACATGTTATTTACCATAGATTAAGATAAGAGGCGAAGAAAAATTGGTTTGAGCCAAAAAATTAAAGGAACCGGGATATTTTCAGGTTAGCTCCCAATACTATTTGACTTCATTTTGATAACTAAAAGGAGGAGCAGGGGGAGGAGAACTGAGCCTGGTAAATTATGCATAGTTACGTTTCAGTTCAGTTTAGTTTCTACTCAGTTTGCTTGGAGTATTCTTCTGACAGCAAAGAAAAGAAGAAAAATGTACTCAGGTCTTTTTTGTGATCAGGAATATCGTCCCAGAGATCTATCGAATGAAATCGCAGTTTAAAACATGACAAACTTTTCTTTGCAGCTAGCCATTCACGTGTTACAAAACCGCCATACCGGAGAGCAAAAATTGCACTGGGACAAGACAAAACAAAAGACATACATAATTTTAAATGACAATTTCTTTTGTTTGTCTTGTTCCAGTGCGACTGTTGCTCTCCAGCAAGGCGGTTTTGTACCACGAAATTTTGCATAAGGGCCTATTTACAAATGAGAGATTATTTGGACAGGCGGGTTACCCCACCTAAGCGGGTTCCCTCACCTACCTGGGGTCCCCCACCTCCATGTAAACGGGTCCTTAGTTTCCTTTTCCAATACTCAAGGGACGATTGTTACTCCCAAGAGAAATTGAAAACAATGTTTATACAAAATTTTGTGGGAAAAACAGTTGCCTTATTGGGAACGAAAGAGTCCCAAATTTTATAATTTGTGGATTTTGTAAGTCTTAGGGCTTGTTTACATGGAGGTGGGGGGCCCCAGGTAGGTGAGGTAACATGCAGCGGGTCAGCCCACCTATCATGTAAACGTGATCAAATTAAAATGAGAGATTATGTGGACAGGCGGGTTACCCACCAAAGCGGGTTACCTCACCTACCTGGGGTCGCCCACCTCCATGTAAACAGGCCCTTACTGAACATAGCTGTACTGATTTCCTGTTTGACTACCACACATCCTACATAATAGAGTTACGTACGCCTGCGCACTAAGTACGTACAATAAGCATACTTATAAATTCATCGTTATTCATCTTTCAATGAAAAGAGGCGAAAAAATATATAGCTGGCTATATCTACTGGCAGAAGAATGTAGGTCACTTTTGATTTAATTTTTCCTCTAGTTACAGCTACAAAAATGTACCAGTCAAGTTCAGACGGCATGAGAAAGATGGATAAAGTAGCTCTCTGTCTTATGTTTCTCTGTGTGAATCTTTTCGCGTTTAATGCTGCCAATCCCGGATATGAAGATACAGATGACGATAATGGTGGACACTCTGCCGAGTTCAGACCTATGGGGTACGAATGGAACATCGCAGAACTCGAATACGGCCATGACATGCTCAATAAAATTTACTCGCTCAGCAAAAAACGGTCTACCTTCCCGACTGGTATCAGGGCCATCGGCAAAAAAGCAGAGAAAGTCGAATTTGATGCTGAATTTTACAAGTTCTACAAAGCTTTACCTGAAGTTCTGAAAACCTTGCAAGCACGCCTTGAAAGCGTTTTGAAAGACAACGGTATTATTGGAGTTGTGACTGGAAGGATCAAGAGTTTGTCATCACTGTCGGCGAAGATGGAAAAAGACGGAATAACGGACTATCGCAAAATAACGGACATTGTAGGCGCCCGAGTTACTTTTCAAACCATTGATGATATTGTAAAGTTCAAGAATGCATATCTTGAAGCTTTCAACAACACTGTAAACGAGATCCGATGCTATGGTGTTTGTGGGCCAGCGATTGGCAGCTTTGATCAACGCGAAAAAATTTACTGGCCCTGGAAAGGTTCCGGCTATCGTCGTCTTCATTTCAAGGTGTTTTGCTTTGTATTTTAAGGTGACAGCCTGGTTAAAAGCTTGTTTTCAGTTTATTCCTGCCCTTTTTCTTAAATATCTTGCCAAGATTTCATTCAATCAAAAATGACTCCGTTAAGTCGGTCGTCCTTGGTTCAATAACTTTATGAGAATTTTTGGATGATTTTTCGAATGTTTTTAATGTATACAAATTAGGGGCGATGTTGAGAATTTTAACAATTGGAAAATATTGGATTCGGTGTTGTTAAAAATTATCTTGCAATTCTTATTAATTTATTTTTTTCTTCTCGCTTGTCTATCTGACCGAGGAGAAATGGTGACTGGTAAGAGGTGACACTATACCCAGTAACAATACTATAGGTGTATGCAAATCAATGTGTGAGCTTGAGCGGAAATCTTGCCCCATTCGTCACTAAAAGCCTGCACACCATGAGTTATTCAGAATTTGGATAACTTATCCACTGAATAGTGATTTATCCGGTGAATAGTGCTATCCAAATTTGCAACAATTGTTGCCAGCTCCCTTAGTCTAAATCTTCTAATAAACTGAGTCTCAGGCTGCTCAATTGAACTCCCAAGCCGCTAGCGGCCTGGAAAAGTCTGAGTTTGTTTTATAATTGATATGTTGTCTCTTTCGAAGGTAACACTCCCAGAGCTTGATACAGCAGGAGAAATTCAAATGGGAACACCATACATGACGCTCTGGGCAGACTGGGAACATGACGTAGTTTACAAAGGGCCTCCACGCTTTAAACAGAACAAGAATGTCAACAAGTATGCTCAGAGGCTGGCCAAATACTACATGATGCTTGATGATATACGAAATGAAATGCTTCCATCATGTCCCCAAATTTTGCAGGAAAGTTTGAAAGAGTCCAATTCTTCTCGTAATGAGTGCTTATTCTCATAGGCGTACGGGCCGGGGGGGCGAGGGGGGCTGCAGCCCCCCCAAATTTTGGGCAACTCAGATTTTTTGGGCAGGAAGAGAAAATTTGGGCAAAGCCAGCTTTTAAAGACGTTTTCATGTTTTTTTTATTAGTATTTTGAAGAGATAAATATTTTCTATTTTAACCTGGAGTCTGCGTAATAATCAAGTTACATTCACACGAGACAGTGGTTGCCAAGCACCTGATGAGTTTCTGTGTATAAGGGAAGGTTTTTTTTATCGTTGGGCACTGTACTGCCATGGGCTATTTCCAATCGTGAATTGATTAGAATAAACTTCCGCCTAACTTTTTAATATCATCTCCGCTCGTAGAACAGTGTATGGCAGATAGCATCAGCGATTGATCTGAAAGTGAAGAAGTGGTTGGCTAATTCTCACTTTGAATTACGAGAAGAATCTTAATTTTTTTAAAAAAATCTATCAAGTGGTTCAAATTATTCACTAATTTGTTAAAGTACACCGAAATGTTTACAAAACCGCTAACAAGCGCGCCATGATACATACTAATCAAATCCTTCTTTGTAGCAATTGACCAGAATAGACCTTTTTACCAATACGGCGGCCATATTGATATTAACTCGATTTAAGGAGTATTATAGGATGCCCAGGGGGTATGAGCACATTTCGTTTGTATTTTAGAGCGCTTTTCGGGACATTTTTTCTTTAAGTTTTCTTAGAATAAGATTGTAATGGGAAAAAAGATCCTTGTGCCGTGTTTGGATGTAATAATGATCGCCTTTTTCTAGTTTAGTATTAGAAATATGGTCTCTCACTGTATATTTCTCGGGTAAAAGGCGATCATTATTACATCAAAACACTGCACAAGGATATTTTTTCCCATTACAATCTTATTCTAAGAAAACGTTAAGAAAAAATGTCCCGAAAAGCGCTCGAAAATACAAACGAAGAGTGCTCATGCCCCCTGGGCATCCTGTAATACTCCTTAAATCGAATTAATTCAATATGGCCGCCGTATCGGTAAAAAGGTCTATTATCTCTATTATATCACTCGTGGTATTTATGCCAAATATCACTAAAAATCATGGTATTACCTATAGAAATAACTCACACACATTTTTAAAAATATTGAAGCTACTATGAGGTGAAATGGCATGTCAGAAGCGCTTCCTTTTCTACAGATAACGGTTAAACATCAAGATTTTCCTTGTTTTACTGTATTTCTAAAGATAAAAACTTTATCCCAAAATATCCCGATAACGCTCTTACAGATTCCGTTTTAACTTCACAAACATGGAGGCGACTATTGGTTGAAGCTCCCGAGAACGATTTCATAGACCTTCATAATGAGAAATAATGCTGCGAGTATAATAGGTAATGGCGTCATTTCGTTTCTATGACAACTCCGGTGTCATTGCAACCCTGATCATGGCAAATTTTCATCTTTATCTAATACAAATTTGGTGGCAATTTTTCCAAATGTTTGTTTATGGCAACGTATAGTTTGTGCTCAAACTTGGCAGGTATATATTGACCCTGAAAACCTGTATTGAGGCACTTTCGTATGCCAGTACGCGGGCCTATGTTGTTGCATCGTATGGCCCTTGTTTCTTTTCGACTGTTTTGTAAACATTTGGGCAATTTGCAAGAATTTTTTGGGCAAATGGTCTACCGCCCCCCCTGGCCGAAAATTGCCCGTACGCCTATGCTTATTCTAGAATGACCTTCACACAAATATGTAGTAAAAACTGTAATTTTCTGGTGTTGGCTCTTGGTGTTACTAATATAAAAACTACAATTTAGCTAACATACATGTAACTCGCTGAGTAAAATAAATCGTCTGCAACAATGATTGGATAGAAGTGGATTTATTTTTGTAAATGATAACCCCTGAATCGTGAGTACGCAGGGAGGTACAACCACACGATGAAAAATGGCTTTCTTACCGACAGAAAAATTAAGAGGGGGTTCATGTCTAAAGGTCTAATTATGGGGAGCGATCTATTTGCAAATTTACCGTAGATGAATAGGCGCTTTCAGTTGCAGCATGCCATTCATCGCGTGTGTTGCAATACGCTATTGCATATTCAAGTTCAATTAGCCGACGATTGTTTAGATCGTTATTCCTAATACGGACCAAGCTTTGTTTACATTCAGTTAGCTGTAGATCACGCTTAAAATTATTATTCATTGCGCAGTGTAACTTTGTAGTGAAAACCGTTAGGACGCTGAATAAACTTCTCTCGTCAAAAGTTGTCTTGTCAGGATATTTCTTCATGCTGGAAGCAGAAAGCACATGAGGAAACAACGTGGTACTGAACCGCCAGAGCTAGAGAGTAAGGGATGCACTGAGACAAGACAAACAGGCTTCCATCATTTAAAATAATAGTTTCCTTTGTTTGTTTTGCCCCAGTGCAGTCACCGGTACCTCAAGCTCACGAGTGAGAATCGTTGCGTAAAAGAAATAATATAAGGGTTCGTATTAGGATTTAAGCGATCGTTGCTTAGGGGTCAAAAATATTAATAAAGATACATCTGATCGAATTTCTTACATTGTAAATTAATGGCGTTTTCGTGAAAGTTTTGGTCGTTTCAGGGCTATTCCAGCGAGTTTTAGTTCTGCCGTTATATGGTTATCTTTATTACTGTTTTGACCCCTAATTAACGATCGCTTAAATCCCCATATATACAAACCCCTATGATAGAGACCTTTAGATTCTCAAGACGAGTACGACGACTACAACTACAAGATTTCCTCAATACTAAGTAGTAAGCTCGCGTAAACCAGCGTCATTTTGGCGCGAAAACGTGATAATCATCCTTCATTCCAGGGGCACCCAACGACGGTTTCCTCCTACACACATTTAAAACACTTTTTGGGCTATCCAGAGAACTTTTAGATTTCTAGAAATGCATTTAAAGCGGCGCTATAAAATTTGTATCTGTTCGGTCATCCTAGGGCAATTTGAGTCTGTTCGAAATTATTAGGGCCCCAGTATTACTTTCCCGAAAATTTTAGATGCAATTTAACGTTTTACGAAAGTGAGAATTCTTCTCTACATCGCATTTTTGAATTCGAAAATTTTTAGGTTTCCTTTTTACTACGAAAAATAGCCAACCTAGGGAGTAAAATGTGAAAAATTAAACTTCAGAAAATCGTAGCGGATTTATTGGAAAAGCTTCGAAAATTGTGTATGAATGGAACAGTCATGTAGAAACTTTTAGCCGTCGTCAAGTTCTAGGCAATATTTGCTTCTCCGAACAGATATTTTACAGAAAACAGTCGTTGGGTGCCCCTGTCATTCTGCTACGAGTTTTAGCAAGAATGTCGTGTTAGCGGTTACAAGTTATAAACTGCCAAGACTGTTGTTCACGCTTACATAACCTGGCGTTTAGATTATTCTAATGCTCTGCACTATGGTCTTCCAAAGTATCTGATTGATAGACTTCAATTTGCGCAGAATTCAGCAGCTCGCCTGGTTACCGCGTCGAGAAAGCGTGATCATATTACACCGATTCTTAGGCGTTTACACTGGCTCCCTGTACGCTATAGAACTATTTTTAAGATATTGTTACTGACTTAGAAGGCTCTAGACGGTCAAGCACCTAGCTACATAAAAGATCTGCTGAAGTATAAGAATTCGGGCCGCGTATTACGATCTTCAAACAAGCATTTGCGTGATGAGCCCGTGGCTAAATTTAAAACCAATGATGATGGGGCATACTCCTTTGCTCTTCCATAATTGTGGAATAAGTTGTCATTAGACATCACTGAGGCTATCATCGTCAGTTACTGTATTAAAAACTAAGCTTAAGACATATCTGTTTACGAATTCTGTTGTTTTATAATTTATATTATAAGCCTGAATTGTATTGAATAATGTAGTTTTCTAAAATTAATTAAGAGTTATGATACATTTGTAAAGCGCCAGGGACAATTAGTCGAGTATGGTGCTATATAAATGCATTTTCATTTTTCATTTTTCATTACTTTGCGGCTAGGAGGTAACTTAACCTCCTTCAGTCAAGATAACAGGGCTAATTTTTTTGGTGAAAAAGATGTACAATGAAGCCATCCGGGGTGTCTATTATTTGAGAACACGCGAAAAAACATTCAGTTAAATCTCGTACTCGTAGTCGTTCTCGTCCTAGAATCTAAAGGTCTCTAATGTTTCCGTTACGCAACAACGATTCTCACTCGTGAGCATGGGGTACCGGGTAACTGTGGTGCGTCCCGGCTCCAGCATGGTGTTTTTGTACCACGTATATGGCTGGAGTCGAACATCCATGTGCGACCACCTCTCGTAAGCGACCACCTGGGCCTGACGGTTAATGATTTTCCATTGTCTTTATCATCTTGTAACCGACCACCTAATTCACTCTCTGATCTGTATGTTCGCTGTGTGCACTATGCTACCGGTTAAAATATACGAGGAACTTTAGTGACAACGTGGTACTACACGTGTCGTTTCTTAGACATTACATGCAATAAATTACCTTCCATAAAGTAGATGTGCATGCTTGAACCTTTTCTTGGAAAAGGCCCCCTGTGGTTCGATTCTTATAAATGACCACCTCCCGTAATCGACCACCCAAAATGCAAAGGCTGAGTGGCACTGGGAGCTTCGACTGTAGCTGCAAAGAGTATAAACTGCCCTTACGGTTTGAATCTAGACAAGGCGAGAATTTCTGTAGCGTGAGTCTGGAATCAAGAAACTGGTAAATGGCCGAAGCAGCATTCCGTTTAGCTGATACTAACAAGCGACTAACTCAAACATTAAGTTTAAACAGGAGCCCATCTTGTGGATCCAATTTAAGAAATTGTAGACGTTTTTCGACTGAGTTCACCATTAACCTTCCGTCCGGAATTTACGAAACTTCCGTCAATAGCACTTTCTACTAATGACGTCACAAATTTCTGGTCCCTGCTGTGACTCAGACATTAAACCTGACCAGTGTAAGAGTGTAGTATGGGAAAGTCACGTTCGGTAACAAATTTTCGTCGTCTTTGAAGATTTTTAT